CCGACCAGATGATATTTGCACGCACCAAAGGAATAGCCACTTACACCTTTATCCTGCAATAAGCTTCAATCAGGCCCCAACCAGGGAACATCTTTAAAATCAATGAGGTATTAGACAGCTTCAGGGTTCTGCCAATGAGTTCAGGGTTCTGCCCTGATCCTGCACACAACAAACGGATTCCTTATAGCCATGTGAGGATCTACCAGCACATCATTGCATGAAATTAAGAGGCCACATAGGTGGATCCCTTTGCAAAGCTGAGGCATAAAGTCCATAAACTGCTCATTTCACTCTCAGAAATGGATCCATAGAAGATTCCTTTGAAAACATGGTTTTTAGGGTTGACCCAGTATGAACAGTTTAGAGACAATTAATATGATCAGCTTTTGTTAGTAAACTTATTGTCCCAAGAGTCATCAAAAAACCTAAGCCTCCAAATATATGGGCCCAGGTTCACCATTTGTGTAACTGTAGTCAAAGCTATATTCAGTAAGCTAGATGCATTTATTTCTGGAATGGACTATATTGACCTTAAGACCCAATAGCTGCAGCAGCTTCAATAAACTAACAAAGGTCTGTCAAGTTGCACTCTTAAAAATGTAATTTTAAAGTAGACAATTAGAAGAATTTCACAAAGTGTAGAAGGATTTTGCTCTGTATTTCAAACAGATTTTTTTTTTAAAAAACTTTAAAAACAAGCTTTTTTTAAAAAAGTTTTTGGTCATATCCCTTTACAATTATCACAGCTTGAGAGTATCTACTATCATTAAAAAACAATGACTCCCAAATTATTTTAACAGCTCATTTTTACCATTTATTTCACTATGGACATTTTTATTTATAAAATAGGCATAATTAAAAAAAAGAATCTGATTGTCTGTGCTTCTGCCTATGCATCTGTGATAGTCTAATCATATAACTTTCCACACAATTATTAGCATACCAATAGCACCAAATCACTCCCCCTGCTTTGTAAGCAAGTGGAGTAGCTTCCTAAGAGGAAATAAAGTTATGTACTTCTTGTTATCTTCGTTCCCAGTCCCACAATACCCACTCAGGCAGAGAAGGGAAAAAAGTCTGCACAGGTAAGAGAATCAACAAGGTGAACATAAGTGCTTTAAAGCTTCAGAGGGGGAGCTGAGTTAGTCTCTCCAGGATAAACTTAAAAAGCAAATAGGCTGGTAGCACTTTATAGACTAACAAAAAATGTAGATGGTATCATGAGCTTTCGTGGGCACAGCCCACTTCTTCAGATAACCAGAGTGTTGGATGTCCAGAACCAAAACTACTTCAATTATCACTTGGGTCCTCTCTCTGTGAAGAAATCAACTGGTAGTTAGAGCCATTTAATTGCTTTGCTTTCAAGCCAGCTAAAGTATTTATCCTGCAAGAGGGTTTACAGCGGTGGTCCCCAACCTTTTGGGGCTGCAAGGCGCCTGGAGCTCAAGAATGGCTCGGGCTGGCCCTGGTCACTAGGCCGGTGCACATAAATGCCATGGCGCCCGCAGGCACTGCATTGGGGACCACTGGTTTACAGAAACTGATACCTATGTACAGCAAAAGTCAACAGAACTAGGAATTAAGTCCCTTACAGCCTCAGTTGGAGTCAGGACACTTATTTTTAAGTCATTTTGTTTCTAAGAAATTCTTGACTTAATTTTCCAGAACTGGATTTAAAAGTTTACAGTATTTGGGAGTCTCTTCTCTACTTCATCCTTGAAATTTTTCCTCTTCTGACAAATGATTGCCAAATTTGTGTAGGACTATGTACACAGAAGATGCTTATCCACATGGTTTAATTTTGACTAATTCTTCATGCTTATCTTGTTTTAAAGAGACAGTAGTATAATCACTTAAGATAAAGACCTTAACTTGTTATAAGAGTATTTTTTAACATCCTCAGAGCAGCAGGGTAGGGATCTACTTTTAGAAAATTCTGTAGTATTTTCTTCAAAATGTCAGCACTATTTGACTAAGCATTACTCCTCAGCAATGCCCTGCTAAGAGTGTTCATACTCCACATAGTCACCAGAAACCATTAAGTGAACTACATTCATTATTTACATGAATAAGTAGCTTGCAGGATCTGGTGCACAGAATGAATTGCAGCATTGGACACACTAAAAGCTCAAAGAAACCCCACATCTTAATGATGGAAGTTATAATCCAAAGCAAATCTGTTTTATTATTTTTTTCTGATAAACTCTTCTCATGGCACTTTGAATGGAAGCTGTGTCTGCATCCTTGAAAAGGAAAGCAGTGGGGGAGGGGTCAGGAGGAAAGTGCGAAAGGAGGTGGGAAATGGAGTAAGCATGTTAAATGGGTATCTGCAAATATTTCTTAAATAAGGAAAGAGTTCTGTCCCACCTTTTCACCCAATGAGATACTACAAACACAGACAAACTATTTTAAGAGATGGAAAACTGTTGTTGGGGGACAAAAAATAAGCATGCTGCATGTTAGCCCATAGGGTAAATTCCTTCTTTCACCCTAACTTAAATACCCTGTACACCAAAAAATAGATAGGAACACAAATAGAAAGTGGATCTTTAATTTTGTCTCCTCAACTTGGGAGCAGGAGCAAGAGAAGATCTCCATAGTGAAATAGAAAAAGAAGCAGTTTAGCATGTACCATCCATTCTCATGATTTAATTTCAGTATCATGGTACCCAGACAGGATGAAAATATCTGCCACTGTCACAACATTGCACGATGTAGGTTTCTCTCCATCTCTTCTCTCCCCACAAAACCAGTCTCTTTGGAAGCTCCCAATATCATAGAAAAGCAAACCTGAAGTGGACCTGAAAGTTTTTGTTCCAGGAGCAAAAAAGGCTTATTTAAAATATATTCCTGCAGACTATAGGTTGTACCTCCCTAAACCAGGACTCTCAGATCCAGTGTTCCTTGGCCAGAGAGCCCAGGGCAGGGAGACCAATGGTGGGCAGGTGGCTCAGGCAACATGGAGAGCACAGTGCCAGAGAGCTCAGTGTCGCAGGGAATCCCACTATGCATCCAGGAGTCCTGCGGTAGGGGGCGCTGGCAGTGTAAGTAACCCCACAGCTGGGGATACATCAGTGCAGGGAGCTCTGGTGGTGTAGCCAGGAGTCTCGTGGGAGGGGCTCAGGCGGCGCAGGGAGCTCCAACAATTTATACAGAGCTGCTCCCTGTAGCAATGTGCTACTTATGGAGGACTTAGAGTTCTACCGATAGCATATCATTTTAGGGAGGAGCTCTGTATGAGACACCGGCGGAACATCCAGGAGCGTGGCCAGGGCTGAGGCAGACCGGTTTGTGTGTATGGTGGGGAAGGGGGAGGAGTGGGGCTCAGGCAGCATGGCTGGAGCCCTGTGGCAGGGGGTTAAGGCTGTCCGGAGAGCACTGCAGCTGGGAGTCCCAGGGCCGAGGTGTGCAGCCAGGGCCAGCAGCACAGCTGGCTGAGGGCAGTGGGGCTGGCTAGGGCCAAAAGCGAAGTCAGCATATGCCTGGGAGGCCATTGACAGGCGACCTCCCCAGTCTGGCAAATTCCCTTGTTCGGGACTGGTCAGGTCTCAGGGGTGCTGGACCATGGAGGTCCAACATGTATTAAAGACCTCATACTGGACATCCCCACTATAATTTGCCCTGGTATACATCCCTTCCACAATAAAGTCATTGACTCTTGCGGAAATTGATGAGTTATAAGTCCTCCTGTTTTCCACTCTTAAGCCATAAAAAAACCCCACCAAATTTGTGCAAATTGACAACTCCATACAGGCAGGCCCCTCCACCCACAGAGCCACTTCCAGGCTATGTCTACACTCGTGGCTTCTTGTGCAAGATCGGCCATTCTTGCACAAAAACTTGAGGAGCATCTACACTGCAGGCGCATTCTTGCACAAGTAAATGTACAGTAAAGCATCAGAAGAGGGGGCTTCTTGCGCAAGAGTTGGGATTGATCCTGCCTAGAGCAGGGGACTGGACTTGATGTCCTCCTGAGGTCTCTTTCAGCTCTATGGTTCTATGATTCCTTTCCCCCTGAGGAATAAGCCCTGTTGCGCAAGAGGGCAATGTAGATGGACAAGAGGGGCTTCTTGTGCAAGAAACCCCTATGGCTAAAATGGCCATCAGAGCTTTCTTGCACAAGAGAGCATCCACACTGCCATGGACGGTCTTGTGCAAAAGCACATCTCTTGCGCAAAAGCAAATGGCAGTGTGGATACACTCTTGTGCAAGAACTCTTGCGCAAAGCAGTTCTTGTGCAAGAAGCCTGCAGTGTAAACGTAGCCAATTTGTTTTCTTCAAAATATATCTTTTTAAAAAGGGCTAGTTAGTTATCTTGCTGTAAAATTACCCTGCTTCCACACACACCTTTTTAAGACATGAAGAAAAAGCCTAATACGAACAGTACTAATTCTCTTCTCATAGGTTGTATCTACATTGCATGCTTCTTGCGCAAGAACTGCACTTCTTGCGCAAAAACTCGCCGGCTGTCTACACTGCACGCATATTCTCGTGCAAGTAAATTTACAGTATAGCATCAGAAAACGGCTTCTTCCAGAAGAGTTATTCCTCTCCCCATGAGGAATAAGCCCTCTTGTGCAAGAGCTCTTCCACAAGAGGGCAGTGTAGACAGGCAACATGAATTTCTTGTGTAAGAATCCCCTATGGTTAAATGGCCATCAGAGCTTTCTTACTGAAGAGAGTGTCCACATTGCCATGGATGCTCTTGTGCAAAAGCACATCTCTTCCACAAAAGCACGTGTCAGTGTGGACGCGCTCTTGTGTGGAACGCCTTTTGCACAAGAACTCTTGCACAGAACAGTTCTTGCACAGAAGCCTGCAGTGTAGACGTAGCCATAGAGATTAAGGAAAATGTGTTACCTCTTGGCAACAGATCTACATGATAGAAGAATGTTACAGGTCAAAACAGAGGTAAATATAATGAATGAACCCATTTATTAAACCAAAGATAATAGGTTACATCATTTACAAAGTCTCAGTGAGACAAGAGTTATGAAAAAGGGAAAATCATGCAATTATTTTAATTTTATACATTTCATATTACAATTATAAAGCTGGTAATTATAATTCATAATGCATGTGTGACACAGAGAACCAATAACTGTATAGTGTAATAAAATCCTTCACACTTTCTCTCCTCAGCCCATTGTTTGTCGTCATTACAGGTTGCATAGGTCTAGAACCTATTTTGGGGTAAGATAGTGGAATTAAACTAAAGCCTTCAAACTTTCACTGATAATTGTGAGCTTCAATACATTCTAATTCATGTGAAAAAAACTAATGAAAAGACTAATACTACAGACATAATAAAAATACCTTGTTAAATAATGAAAAGACTAATACTACAGACATAAAAATACCTTGTTAAACACCTTGTTCTGCCTTGTATGGTTTTAGGAGTAAAGAACCATGTGCAGTTAATTACTGCTATATGGCTAATGCAGATTTTATTGGAAAAGTTGCAACATCATATTTTCCCTCATTCTCATCCAAAAATCTAAGCATGCTAGTTAAAATTTCTCCCTCTGAATGCAAAGTCAAGAGCCAACCCCACAATATTATTTCCAGACAAATTATTAGTATGTGAAATGAAATGAATTTATCATACAGTTAAGGAAATTCATGAGAGAGAGAGAGAGAGTTTGGATAGAGAATACACACTATGGTAGGTATTTTAAGGGTTCTGAAAGTGAAATTGAATCATCTGTGTCAGCAAGTAGAAAAAGGGTTTACCTTGGGAGAGTAAATCTTCTTCAAATTTTCTTAAAATAGCTAGAATATTTCTTTCTTTTGACACAGAACGATGGATAGAACTAAAAAAAGATAACTGGGTTAAGTAATGAAACAGCACTCAAAAAGGAACCTCTATTCACAGGAAAATGTAACATTAGAGCCCTCACTTGAACTAAACATTCCCATCCTGAGACCGCTCTGCTGCTTAGAACTATTGATACTAGAAGGGATTTGAGTGCCTGCTTGGAAATATAGCCCAGGTGGAATGCATTAACTAATTAAGAACCATAAGGGAATATCCTTGTCTCCTTTATTTTGATTTCTTCCAGTGTCAAAGTCCTTGATTTAAAGTACAAATATTATTTAGCATATGCCTTATCAACCATTCTCTATTTTGATGTGAATTTAATGTCCATAAAAGTTTCTTGCATTAGAACTAAGAAATAAAATCTGTTAGCAGCTTAGAATACTTGCACATTATAAAAAAAGTGTGCAGGTATTTTTATTCTAAGAGTGTGTTAATTAGGTAAAGGATCTGAAAAAAACACCTTCCATATTTATCTAAGACTCTTTTGTATATTCCTAAAGAACACCTACCTATGGAAATACAGGTCTGTTCTATATTTATGCAGTCTTTCTTACTGTAATTTAAAGTAATCATAAAATCCT